TTTATTATATAGGATACCTTAAAATAGCAAATGTTCAAGAAGATAAAAGACATGGTTGAGAATTTTTACAAAGAACCAGAAAGTATATTAAAAGGGGTGTGTTGTGACAGATGTAAATCAGGAAAGTTTCATAAAATCTGAGTCAAATATTTAGTGGAAAGCAGTTTATTAAGCAGATAAGTGAAGGAAGAAGACAAATGTGAGAACAGTCTGGACAGAAAGAATAACACAGGCAAAGGGGAAGAAACCAAGATGGCAGCATAGGGTACACACCTGAATGCAGCCTACCACACTAAATTTGAATTTAGAACTGGAAAACAGGGGAAACATCACCCTGAAGAGCTGGAAGGCTGGCCGAGAGGAGGCTCTACCATCTGGGAAGGAGAGAGAAGGCACGCTGAACCTCATGAAGTGTGAAGGTGCGGAGAACTGTGCATGCGAAAAGGGGGCTGCCCAACTTTGCTGCTGGCTTGCTTGTGGAGCGTGGAGAGGGTGGGCCGAGTTCACTACTAGCTTACTCCCTGAGTGCGGAGAGGGTGAACAGCTAACGTGCGGCTGGCTTTCTTGTTCGGGAGGAAAACAGAACCACCCTATTGCTCTGATATACGGCCCCAGACAGGGAGAGGCCAGACTGTCAGGCAGTGGGAAGAGATGTCTCAGAGGTGTGTGAAGCCAGCAGCCATTACTGTGGGTCTGAGAAACCAGATCCTCCTAGGAGGGGCTGAATAAAGCTTGTCTGCACTACCCAAGACTCCACCCCATCCAAGTGGAGCACAGAAGCCCTTCCAGTGGCTAGCTTTCTCGTTTGCCACAAATAGGACTCTACTAGGAAGAGACAGACAGGAATCCAAAGCTTGTTTGTGCCTATACCAAAGAGTGCACGCGCCTGCAACAAATCTTGTGGGATTCACCAAAACTTGGCTGTGCCACCCCAAGACTCCGCCCCATCCAAGCGGAATACAGAAACCCTCCTAGCTGAGACACTTCTGATCCTCATAGCCAATTGGCTTGGAGATCAATGCTTCACAGTGATACCAACAACAAGACTGCACACACAGCCCACAAAGGGCTAAACCAAGACTGTCCACCTCAGGTAACTGGGAGGCTGACCCACTGAACCATATAGGACACCTTAGCACACAAAGCCACCCTACCAACTCAGGGAAGCTATGAAAATGCCAAGACAAGGAAACAGATTACAAACAAACGAAATGAAGGGCAAGAAGCGAATGGATATAGAGTTCAAAACCACACTTATAATGTTTTTCAAGAATTTCCTAGAAAAGGCTGATAAAATAAATGAGACCTATGAGGATATGAAAAAGGATCAACTAGAAATAAAGAATACATTGTCTGAAATAAAAAATATTATACAGAGTCCTAAAAACAGAATAGAAGATTGCAAGAATCAAGTCAAAGATTTGGAACACAAAGAGCCAGAGGACACTCCTCCACGGAAGCAAGAAGATAAGAGAATCCAGAAAGTTGAAGATAGTGTAAGAAACCTCTCGGACAATTTCAAGCAAACCAACATCAGAATTATGGGCATCCCAGAAGATGACAGAGAGCAAGATACCAAAAACATATTGAAAGAAATAGTGACAGAAAACTTCCCCCACCTGGGGAAAGAAATAGACTTACAATTCCAGGAAGTGCACAGAACCCCAAACAAAAGGAATCCAAAGAGGACCACACCAAGACACATCATAATTAAAATTCCAAGAGCAAAAGACAAAGAGAGAATATTAAAAGCAGCAAGAGCAAAGAAGGTAGTTACCTATAAAGGAGCACCTATATGGTTGTCAGCTGACTTTTCAACAGAAACCATGCAGGCTAGAAGGGAATGGCAAGAAATATTCAAGGTGACGAATAGCAAGAACCTACAGCCAAAAATACTCTACCCAGCAAAGCTATCACTCAGAATCAAAGGCCAGATAAAGAGCTTCACAAATTAAAAAAAAAGCTAAAGGAATTCATCACCACCAAACCAGAATTATATGAATTGCTGAAAGGGGTTCTTTAGAAAGAGAAAGAAGATATAGATAAAAATTATGAACAACAGCCAAAACCGGTTTGGCTCAGTGGTAGAGCATCGGTCTGCGGACTAAAAGGTCCCAGGTTCGATTCCAGTCAAGGGCATGTACATTGGTTGCGGGCACATCACTGGTTCGGGGTGTGCAAGAGGCAGCTGGTCGATGTTTCTCTCTCATCGACATTTCTAGCTCTCTATCTCTCTCCCTTCCTCCTCTCTGTAAAATATCAATAAAATATGTTTTTTTTTTTTAAATTATGAACAACAAATATGTTACAACAAGTGAAACTAAAAGCCAAGAGAATTAAAAAACCTGATGAACAATATTAACTAGTGAATATAATGGAATCCGAGGTATGGAAGGGGAGTGGACTTATGATTCTCAGGGAAAAGGGGAGTTGGGGGGTGCGGAAAGAGCCTGAACAAAAACTGTGCACCTATGGATGAGGACAATGGGGGGTGGGGAAAGGACAGAGGGTGGGGTGGGAACCTGGTGGAGGAGAGCAATGGAGGGGGGGAAATGAGGAACATTTGTGATAATATGTACAATAAAGATTTATTAAAAAAAAAAAAACCACAGGCAAAAGTATTCAGAACTGAAAATATGATACCGATACTGTAAATATGTAAGCTGTATATGAATCAGTTAACTTGAGGACAGAGTTAGAGCAACTGAGAACCCATGTATGCCATGCTAATGAATTTCAATTATACCTTATTGGGGGAGCCCAATTATAATAAGAAGAAATAATAGAAGAATTTTAAAATATATATGTACAGATATATTTTTTAATAAGATGATATATCATGCTCACAGAATGGGAAAAATAAAATTTTCCGTAATTTAATTCAATTCAAAACAAGTGTGGAAGTTTTATGAGCTTAAAGTGATTCTGAAGTTCACCTAGAATAAAGTTTGTCAAACTTTTTCAGTAGAAGATCAGACTATAAATATTTTAGGCTTTTCAGGATGCATAAGATATGTCATATTTTTTCCTTTTCTTCCTTTCTCCCACCCCTCGTTTCCTCTCCTTCCACTTTCCTGTCCTATTTCCTTTCTATCCTTTTCCCCCTTCACTCTTTCTCTCTTTCCCTCCCTTCCTCTCTCTATAACTTTTTTTTCCCTCTTTCTTTTCTACAAACTTTTAAAGATATAAAAACCATTATTACTCATTGGCTGTGAAAAAGTTGGCCACAGTCAGTTTGCTGATTCTCTGGTCTAGAAGAATACATATATTTTAATAAACATAACAGTAGTAGGGAAAGAACATGCCTTACCAGGTTTTTATCACAAAACTACAATGAATTAAAAAGTGTGGGAAGGATTCAATATTTACTAAACAAATCAAACAAACAGTACAGAATGAGACTCAAGACTACATAATATATAATGGTTATTTATATATGAACATGAGTATATAAGTAGCACATATTTAAGCTTAAAATATGAAAATTTTATAATTAGAGCTATTTAATGAATCTCAAAAGAAAAAAAAGGTGTGAATCTAACTTTATAAGAAAATCAGCTGCCTTAATTATTCAAGATTTAGTATAAATAAAAATTTGCAACTTATGTCATAAATATCAAATACTGAAAGGGAAAAGCTTGAAAACATTTATAATCAATGCTATAATACATTTGCTTATTTTCTATTTTCTCTTTAGCTTTCATTGCCCTAAGATCAGTATGGATGAAGTTCTTTCAGCATATGCCTGAGATTTTGCTGCCTGTGGACTTCTCTAGTATTTTTATGGTTTCCTGTCTTATGTATAAGTCCTGTATCCATTTTGAGTTTATTTCTGTGTATAGTGTAGGTTGATGATCTAGTTTCATTTTTTTTGCATGTGTCTGTCCAATTTTTCCAACACCATTTATTGAAGAGACTGTTTTGACTCCATTGTATGTTCATGCCTCCTTTGTCAAATATTAATTGAGCATAGTAGTTTGTGTTGATATTTGGATTCTCTATTCTATTCCATTGATCTATCTGTCTGTTCTTGTGCAAGTACCAGGCTGTTTGAGAACAGTGGCTTTGTAATATACTTTGAAATCTGGTATTGAGGTCCCTCCTACTTTATTCTTCTTTCTCAGGATTTCTGTGGCTATTTGGGGTCTTTTTTTTTTTTTTTTTTTTTTTAATCCCAGATGAATTTTTGGAGAGTTCTTTCTAGGTCTGTGAAATATGGCCTTGGTATTTTAATGGTGAATGCATTGAATCTATACATTGCTTTGGGTAGTATGGACATTTTAATGGTGTTGAAAAAGGAATCCTCATGCACTGCCGGTGGGAATGCAGACTGGTGCAGCCATTATGGAGAACAGTATAGAGTTTCCTCAAATTATTAAAAATGGAATTCGCATTTGACCCAGTGATCCAACTTCTAGTAATATATCCCAAGAAACTAGAATCACCAATCAGAAAGGATATAGGCACCCTTATGTTCATAGAAGCACAATTCGCCGTATCTAAGATTTGGAAACAAGCCCAAGTGCCCATCAGCAGATGAGTGGATTAAAAACCTGTGGTACACCTACACAATGGAATACTATGCTGCTGTAAAAAGGAAGGAACTCCTGCCATTTGAAACAGCATGGATGGACCTGAAGAGCATTATGCTAAGCGAAATAAGCCAGTCAGAGAAAGATAAATATCACACGATCTCACTCATTTGTTGAATATAGTGAACAACATAAACTGATGAACAAAAACAGATCCAGAGACAGAGAAGCATAGAGTGTCAAACCTTGGAGGGAAGGTAGGGGATAATGGGGGTTAGGGGGAGAGATCAACCAAAGGACTTCTATGCATGCATATAAGCGTAACCAATGAAAACAGACACCGAGTGGGTGAGGGCATGAGTGGGTGTGTGTGTGTGTGGGGGGGCAATGGGGAGATAAAGACACATATGTAACACCTTAATCAATAAAGGGGAAAGAAACAGATCAATGGCCCAAATGCCTCTTTACCTTAAGAGATGAACTCATAATAATGGTGGTTGTCCATTTTATATTTTCTTTTTCACTACTTTCAGCCATCTGTCTTTGGATCAATCCAAATTCTAATGGTGCCACAAACTAAGAAAAATAAGAGCAAAAGAACACACAAAAAATGCCTGTTTGATAAATGAGTAAATGAAAGATAGAAATAAAACTAGAGTAATGAAGACATTCTTAAAACTATCCGAAAGTCAAAATTGGACATTGAAAAGTATCTGTCATGTTATATATTAAATTTATTTAATACTATGCTTTCTATTAACAATTATTAAAAGCAATGATTCTGACAACTCACATTTTTCACCTTGAGTGTGATATTAGCTATGGGCTTGTCATACATTGCCTTCATTATACAGTCCTGCACCACAAAACATTTTGGTCAACACAAACTACATATATGGTGGTGGCCCCATAAGATTATAATGGAGCTGAAAAATTCTTATCATGTAGTGCTGTCATAACTGTTCTTTGGTTTTGCAGCCATAGCATAAAGTTTGCAAAAATCAACAAGGCTGTGGTGACATGGCAAACAACTTTAACCTGGGCGTGCATGACAGTGACATTGAGGAGCTCCTAGAGGTGGCTCCTGAGGAATTGACTACTGAGGAGTTGTCCAAACAGTCAGAGGAACACATCACTAAAGAATATGCAAGAGCCGAAACCGGTTTGGCTCAGTGGATAGAGCATCAGCCTGTGAATTGAAAGGCCCCAAATTCGATTCCGGTCAAGGGCACATACTCTGGTTGCAGGTACCTCCCAGTGGGAGGTGTGCAGGAGGCAGCTGATGGATGTTTCTCTCTCATCGATGTTTCTAGCTCTCTAGCTCTCTCCCTTCCTCTCTGTAAAAAAAAAAAAAATCAATAAAATAAAAAATAAAAAAAAGAATATGCAAGAGAAAAGGAAACTACAGGAGAAGAAAAAGAACCTCCAGAAAATTGACAGTGAAGGGTTTAGCAGAAGCTTTTACATAGCTCAACAAGCCCCCTAAAAAGTTTAAAACATGGACTCCCAACAACAAAAGGTCTTGTCTAATAGACAAGAATGTTTGTTGCCTTATCTATATATATAAAAGCCAAGCAACTGGAATGACCAGAATGACTGGTTGTTATGAATGCACTGTGGGGCCAACCAGCCAACATCGCATGTCCCCTCCCCGCTGCCAGCCTGGCCCAATTGGCCCCCATTTGGGCAGGCTGGCCAGACCCCATCTATGTATGAATTCATGCACCAGATCTCTAGTATAAACAAATGTTTGATAAAAAAGAGAGAAAAACTAAGCAAACCATTATAGGTGTATTTCTGAAAAGAGTGACATTTCCTTAAGAAGAGGAGCAACTTCCAATCCTGAAAGTTCCATTCATAGTAAGTGCCCTATACAGGTGGTACCATTTTTAAATCTTTTATTCTATACTTAGAGGCCTGGTGCACAAAAATTCGTCACTCAGCGGGGGTGGGGGGTATTCCCCCTTAGACTGGCCTGCGCTCTCTCACAGTTCGGAACTCTTCGGGGGATGTCCACTTGCCAGTTTAGGCCCACTCCCCAGGGATGGAGCCTAAGCTGGCAGTCAGACATCCCTCTGGCAGCCCGAAAGCCCTCAGGGGATGTCCAACTGACAACTTAAGGCTAAAATGATCCATGTGGTAATCAGTATGAACTCATTGGCAACATCATTGTTAGCTTGATATACAGATGAATACACATAGAAATACATATATATATATGGATTAGTATACACTGGTATACATACATTCATTTCTTTGCTTTGTCAGTTGAGAGAGGTCTAAAAAAAATGATATGCTAACCAGACTTTGGTTTCTAATACCTTTCTCTGATAAAAAAAAAAATGATGGCTCCTTGAAGAAATGGTTGATTCTAGGGTAGGAACAGGAAATATGCATAATGAGTCTAGAGCATTTTGTAATGCCAGAAATTAAGGAAGTGATTTAAAACAAAAATAAACACAGAAAAAAAAAACCCCACATTGAGAGGGGTATGTCAAGAGTGGTGGAACAAACCGAAAGCAATCCCAATAGTCAAATCTAGAACAATCTCAGCAGCAAAATAAAATAAAAAAGTATTACCTTATAACTCTTAAAAATATACCCATAAGTGCATACTGATATAAATGATTAAATAAATAAATGGGAGACAAGAGATAAATCTGACACTTTCCACAAAACATTGGAGAAACCTGACAAACACTACCTCAGCCACATGGTCAAAATTATCAATAACATTCATAAATCATATTGATAGTATGTACCCTTGATATGTATCTTTCCTTTAAGTAACCCCAAACCCTAATCCCATCTTGAGAAAAACACCAAATTCCAATAGTTAGGCATACTACAAAAAAATCCAAACAGCACTCCTCAAAACTGTCAAGATGATCAAAAACAAAAAAAGTCTGATAAACTGTCTCAGCCAAGAGAAATCTAAGGAAACTCTGCAACTAGTGATATACTAGTTGGAATCCTGGAACAGAAAACACACACACACACACAAGAAAACTAAATAAACTATGGGCTTTGGTTAAAAATTGTAGTACTATTGGAACACTAATTGTAACAAATGTTCCATACTAATGTAAGATGTTAATAGGGAAAACTAGTTACAGAATATGTGGGAATACACTGTGCTATCCTCTCTCCTCTCTCTTTTAATATATTTTATTGATTTTTTACAGAGAAGAGAGAGGGATAGAGAGCTAGAATCATCGACCAGCTGCCTCCTGCACACCCGCTACTGGAGATGTGCCTGCAACCAAGGTACATGCCCTTGACCGGAATCGAACCTGGGGCCTTTCAATTCCCAGACCAACGCTCTATCCACTGAGCCAAACCGGTTTCAACTATCTTCTCTTTTTTTTCTGCCAATCTAAACTGTTCTAATTATAAAGTCTATTAAAAAAATATTCTACCTCTCTTTCAAGGCCCGATATAAGTCCTGCCTCCTGAGAGAAACTATCTCTGAGCCCCTCAAACTAAATAAGACTTGTCCTTCCTCAAAATTCACCTTACAACTCCTCTGCTGAGCACTTACCATACTTGCTTAACAAAATTATTTAAAAATATATTTCATTTCCCCTAATTCATAAGCTTCTTAATATCAACCAAAATTATATTCGCCATGTTACTCAATACAAAATTAAATCAAAGCAATATTTAGAAACCAACTAATCCAAATGAAAGTCACAGGTGGACGACCAGGTTTCAGTGATGGTGAGTTAATATCTCCTAGGTGGTTTTATGCTCCTTTTGAATAACTCTAATAATTAGAAAGTTCCTCCTGCTGAGTTGAAACCAGCTGCTCTATAATTTCCTCATTTATTGCATGAACGAATGTACAACAAGTTAACTGGCTCTAGCAGAGGAAGGCCACCTTCTGTTTAATCTAATACTATATCTCCAACACCTGGTACACAGTAGACGTTCAAAAAATATTTGTTTTTGAATGTTTTGCTAGCTAGTTGGGGAAAGGACTATAACTTTTATTCCCCTAGCCCCATTAAATTTAATAAACTGTTTATCTGATGACAATTTACTGTGTATCTGATGACACAAGCATAACATATATTCATTTAAATCTTTTTAAAATATATTTTTATTGATTTCAGAGAGGAAGGGAGAAGGAGAGTGAGACAGAAACATCAATAATGAGAGAGAATCATTGATTGGCTGCCTCCTGAACGCCCCACACTGGTGATGGAGCCCACAACATGGGTATGTGCCCTTGGCGGGAATCGAACCTGGGATCCTTCAGTCCCCAGGCAGACATCCTATCCACTGGGATCCCTCAGTCCCAGGCAGACATCCTATCCACTGGAATCCCTCAGTCCCAGGCAGACATCCTATCCACTGGATCCCTCAGTCCCAGGCAAACATCCTATCCACTGGGATCCTTCAGGCCCAGGCAGACATCCTATCCACTGGGATCCTTCAGTCCCAGGCAGACATCCTATCCACTGGGATCCTTCAGTCCCAGGCAGACATCCTATCCACTGGGATCCTTCAGTTTGCAGGCAGATGTTCTATCCAAATGAAAGAGCCAAACTGGCTAGGGCTAAATCTTTTTGTTGTTGTTGTTATTCCTCACCCAAGGACTGAGAGTATTTTTCTCATTGCTTTTTTAGAGTGGAAGGGGTGAGGGGGGGAGGGAAGAGAGAGAGAGAGACAGAGACAGAGTCAGAGACAGACATCAACATGAGAAAGACATCGACTGGTTGCCTCCTTTTCCCACCAGAAGCGCGGGGAATTGAACCTGCAACCCATACGTGCTGCCCTTGACCAGAAATCCAATCCACCACCCTTTGCCTCCCCTTACTCTAACCAATGAGCTTACCGGCAGTGCTGGAACGTATATTCATTTAAATATTTACACTCGTATACGTAGGGTTTTTTTTTTTTTAATGCATATATTTTGTATTGATTTCAGAGAGGAAGGGAGAGATAGAAACATCAATGATGAGACAGAATCATTGATCTTGCCCTGACCCGGAATGGAACCATGATCTCCTGGTTCAAAGGTCAGGCTCAAACACTGCGCCCCTCCGGCCGGGCCGTATGTAGGTTTAATAAACAATTCTAACTAAAGCTAAAAGAGGTTAGGTCATGGTAGATCCCCAAGAGGGTACGGGAACGACCAAGAATGAATCTAAACCAGGCTGAGGCCGGGGCTCCCTCAGTCCCGGAACCGCCCCAGGCCGGCAGGGGGCGCTCCCCCGGGCTCCGCACTCGGCGGCTCCCAGCTGAGGGTAAAGAGCTGCGTTGGACCCCGTGGTCCCCGAATCCTTTTGTTTGTTTCCCCCCAAGTTTTCACGTTTAAATACATTTAATTCTGCGCAATAATCTCCCGTAAATCCTTATCCCGCTCAGTCGGCTCAGTTCTCAAATGAGTGAGGTTGGCCTACAAAGATTTTCATATTTATATATATATAAAAATACATATATATGTATTTTTATATATATAAATTTGCAGGTGGATGACCGGGTTTCTGAAAAGGTAGCTGGTGTACAAATCCTAGGGGGAAAACCTGAGG